GCTATCAAAAGATATCATGTCTGGGGTCTTAAAGGCTTGAAAACAAACAAGTGGTCATCTAGCTGAGAAGCAAGAAAGTCCACATGGAAGAAGCACACTAGTCTGTTGATCATGTGGTGTTGATGGGATCAGGTATCAGGCATCAAAGACCCCAAACAAACCAACCAAAAAATTCCTATCAATGGGAATAAGGGGGAGGGCAGAGTGGAGACCCAAAGCCCATTAGTAGTCAATTGGACTACTGTCAGAAGGGCCACAGGGAAGAGATCAGCCAGTCAGTGTGCAGTAAAGCACCGATGAAACACACAACTTTCCTCTAGCTCTTTAATGCTCGCCCCGCCCCCCCGCAATACCGTGACCCCAATTCTCTTACAAATCTGGCTAGACCAGAACATGTGTACTGGTATAGATAAGAGCTCACAACACAGGGAATCCAGAACAGATAAACCCCTCAGGACCAATAAGGGACAGAGCGATACTAGTTGGGTAAGGGAAGGTGGGGGAGTAAGGGGGAACCGATCACAATAATCAATGTATGGCACCCCTCTCAGGGGGACGGGCAGCAGAAAAGTGGGTGAAAGTAGACAGCAGTCAGTGTAAGACATGAGGGGAAAAAAAGAATAATTTATAAATTATCAAGGGGATATGGGGAAGGGACTGAAAAAAATGAGGAGTTGATACTAAGGCCTCAAGTAGACAAAGTGTTTTGGAAAAGATGATGACAACATACGTACAGATGTGTTGGACATAATGGATATATGTATGGATTGTGATAAGAGCTGTTAGAGCCCCCAATAAAATAAATTTAAAAATAGCATGGCTTGGGTCAGGTCCACCTTAGGCCTCAAAGCAACACCCTTGCTTTTCAATACTTGAAAGTGATTTTGTATAGCAGATTTACCCAATGCAATACATTGTTTAATTTCTTGCTTCTATGAGCATTGGTTTGGACTCAAGTAAAACAAAATTCTTGATAACTTCAACATTTTCTCCATATATCATGATGTTACTTAGTGGTCCAGGTGCAAGAATTTTGATCTTTTTTACATTGAGTTGTAATCCATATTGATGGCTATAATCCTGGATCTTCATCAGCAAATGCTTGGAGTTTTTCTCCCTTTCTGAAAGCAAGGTTGTGTTATCTGCATACCTCAGGTTGTTAATAAGCCTTCTACTCCTGATGCCTCAATATTCTTCATATAATACAACTTCTCTGATTACTCGCTGAGCTTCTCGATTAAAAAAATAGGTGAAATGATACAATCCTGATGCTCACCTTTCCTAATTTTCAACCATGCAGTATTCCCTTGTTCCATTCACACAAATAAATGCCTCTTGATCCATAGACAAGTTTGTCATGAATATAATATTCTGTAATTCTCATTCTTCTCAGTGTTATCCATAGTTTGTTATGATCCACACATTCGGATGCCTTGGCATAATCAATAAAATACAAGTTCTTTTGGTATTCTGTTCTTTCAGCCAAGATCCATCTGACATCAGCAAGGATAGACCTTGTTCCATACACTCTTCTGAATCCGGCCTGGACTTCTGGCAGCTCCCTGTCAATGTACTACTGCAATCATTGTTGGATTGCAGTAAAGCAAAATTTTACTGGCATGTAATACCATTAATATTGTCTAGTTTGAACATTCTGTTGAGTCATTTTCCTTCTGAATGGGTACAGATGTGGATCTCTTCCAGTCAGTTGGCCAAGTAGCTGTCTTCCAAATTTCCTGGCGCAGACAAGTGAATGCTTCCAGTGCTTCATCAGCTTGCTGAAACATCTCTATTGGTCTTTCAGGAATTCCTAGAGCCTTGTTTTTTGGCAATGCCTTCAGGGTAACTTGGATTTCCGTCAGCATCATTGGTTCTTTCTTATATGCTACCTCCTGAAATGGTGGGCTGTCTACTAGTTCTTTTTGGTGCAGTGATTGTGTATTCTTTCCATCTTCTTTTGATGCTAATCTTCAAAGGATTTTAATGTTGATTGATTAATTCCGTTAACATAGAGACAATCTTGCTTGAGCATCTCCCAACCAGTGACCTTAATGAGGGGCCATGCACAGGGACATTCAGATCACGAAGTCCTAGCACAACTCCCTGGCATCAGGCAGACAACTCCCTGGCATCAAGACCTACATATTCCTTTTCTGAACTGTGACCTTTGGCAAATTGTCTAATTTCTGGAATTTTAGTAACAGGGATGATACTCATCATGCTATTTCATTGGGTTGTGAGGATACGATGATAGTAAACTCTTAGAACAAGCCTGGTACCTATTAGGCATGGTATTGCTGTTGGGTGCTTGCTAGTTAGTTCTGAATCACAGCAGCCTCATGTACAACAGGCAGACACACTGCTCGGTCCAGCAGTCCATCTTGTGGAGGGTCTTTCTCTCTTCCTTTGATTCTATACTTTATGAAGCATGATGTCCTCCAGGGATTGGTACCCCCTAATAACATACCTAATTTATATCAGACAAAGTCTTGTCCTCCTTACTGCAAAGAAACATTTTGGCTGTACTTCTTCCAGGGCATATTTATTGTTTTTCTGGCAGTTCATGGCATGTTCAATCTTGTTTGCCAGTATCACAATTCAAGTGCTTCAGTTTTTCTTTGGTCTTCTTTATTCATTATCCACCTTTTGTATGCATATGAGGTGATGGACAGTATCATGGCATGGGTCAGGTCAACCTTAGTCTTCAAAGTGATAGATTTGCTCTTTAGCATGCTAACACTATAAGTGTTCATTGTTTGCTTTTGATAATGAGGGAAATAGCAATCCTTGTCGCTATGGAGCTGTCCTAGTTTTCTAGAGCTACCACGATAGCGGTGACTTTGAAGAACAGAAATGTCTTTTCTCACAGGTCAGGAGGCTGGAAGTCCACATCAGGGTTTGGGCTGTGTCTCTTCTTTTATTCGTAATAGCCCCACATATTCCTTTGTTCCTAAGCTTGTAGGAAGTCTAAGCATGGTATCTGTGCATTTTTACCCACCACAATCTGTGTCTGTGTCTTTGCTACTCTTTATATAATTCAAAAGGGATTAGGTTTACAATTCACTCTCCACTAGTAGGACATCACCTGTTGATCCCATTACATTCGATTGCATTATGGAAAGTGATTACATTATGTTAGATCAGGTTACACCCATGGGTATAAAGGTTAGGATTCCAACACACATTCTGGGGAACACAATCCAATTCATCATAGAGGAGCTTACAGAAGTAACATGTCAGCTGATGACAAGGGCTCTGAAGAACATTAAACAGCAACATGCAAACAGTGGTGGCAGAGATGCTGCCTTAGAGGTCAGGGGAATCTCAGCTAAAACTGTTCTGTTTACTCAGCTCCCTTGGTCAGGACCCTCCAATTTTCCTCCAATTCTACCCATGCTTTGCTGTGGGCCTGGGCTAGTTTGCCCTTCGTACACATAATGGATGTGAACCACTGCCATGACTAATGCTTGCCCTCTGTCTTGCAGGAAGGGGAGCTTGCTGAGGACAACTGCTTTCACTGCCGAGGGTCGGGCAGTGCCACCTGCTCTCTGTGCCATGGCAGCAAGTTCTCCATGCTGGCCAACAGATTCAAGGAGTCCTACCGGGCCCTGCGGTGTCCTGCCTGCAACGAGAATGGCCTCCAGCCTTGCCAGATATGCAATCAATAGCCCATGGCCTCTGCATGTCTACTTCTATCATACCCTCCCTAAAGGTGTTTCTAATAAACTGCCCCCTCCTCCCCTTGTCTCGCCCAGCAAGGAAGCTGCAGCTGCTGCATTTACTTCCACCACTGGTGAAACTCAATTACTCGATGACATTTTGTGAGGCGGGTAGCAACTCCATGTGGGTGTAAGTGGCAGGGACATTTTCAAATTAGAGTCAGCTTTGCCACGGGGTTCTAAAATTATCCTTCCAGGGACGTGAGCTTGTGCCTCACTCGACTTAGCTCAGTTTTCTCCTTGCGCTAGTGAACAAATCAATGTTGCGGCAGCAGGTTGAAGTCATTTTCTGGTTGGGAGTTGCTTTGTAAAATTAGGCAGTGGGAAAAGAATCAAAAGGTAGATTCCTGATGATATGAATTCCAGTTGGCTTAAATGCATTTCAAAGCATTATTGGTCAAATTGAATTTCTAATTAAACTGAGGAGGAGGGGACACCGAACATGGAGGGCACTGGCAGCCACAGTAAGGAAACAGGATGCAAGTGCCTCCCACCAGAGAGAGAAAAGCTGTGAGTGGCTTTGCTTTTTGAGTCCCGAATCTCTCTCCTGGTTAACGTAATTCTGTAATATTCATGCAGCAGCAAGGAATGCTACTTCTTTTGGAGGAGATAAGACATTTTTGCAGGCCTCTAACTACTGAGGTTATAAGCCAAGTTCAAAGCTATTTATGATAAATTTGGTGCTTACGTATGTCTGCGTGTGTGATGTGACTTCTTCCAGTCCTTGAATTGTGACTAGAGTGATAAATCTGTGTTAAGTCTAAGATCTCTTCATAAAGGCTGTGAGTATTTTATAAATAGCCAATGGAAACATCTAAAAGAAAAACTAACCAATTCTTAGAAAATATAATTTGACTGTACATACACATAATAAATATAATTGGTTCCTCTTCAAGTTATAAAATTAGAAAGATATGTTTCTTAATAAACGTTTATAGCTCTAACGCTCACTCCACATGTCCCTTGAGAAACACTGTAACACCTGTACCTGTTGAGACAGCTGCTTTACTATGGTTATTATTTTGATCTTAATATTTTTCCCACAATTTGTTATTCTCTAATATTCAGCTCTTAAAATAACTGAACACATAGAATGCTTTCCAGACAATACAAACACTTCTAATAAAAGGTTTAAAGTATTTTTTGAAGTCATGATCATTTTTTCTGTCCTCTTATAACTGGCCTTTATGACTGCTCACTGGTTCTTGGGTGCTTCTGCAGTAAACTCTTCCTGCCTCTGCTTGTGTTTTATCGCTGTCCATTAGCTAGGGTCCCTTCTGCTTTCCAGAACACCAGAGGAAGGAGCAACCATTACATGTATCTTCTGTTTTCTGACAGGAACTTGGTCAACAGGCATCATTTGAGCACCCACTGCATGTAGGCTAACTTAGATGCTTAGTGTAAGTGTTAGCCAGATGGGCACCATGGCTTTGCTATCTCAAGGAACTTACAGTAAAAGTGGAGGAGACAGACATATAAACAATGCTGGGGTAGGGAAATTACAAGAAGCCTTTGAAACACATTGAGATAGAGAGGTAGGTAGATAAATACATAGATAGCTATACATACATAGGTAATTAAAGAGAGCAGCTGTTGGTTGGCAGTTCAACTCCAACTCATGGTAACCCAAGGCACAACAGAACAAAATGTTGCTTGGTCCTGTGTCATCCTCATGATAACCATCATGTTCCAGACCATCATGATGGCTATTGTGCCAGTCCATCTCCCTGAGGGTCTCCTTCACCTTCATTGAATCTCTCTTGCACCCAACATTATATCTTCTTTCAGTGATTGATGCCTTCTGATGATGTAGCCAAAGCAAGAGATGCTGACAAGGTGGTTGTGATGGCTTGAGTGTACAGCAACAACAGCAGCAATTTTCAGAAGTAGGTCATCGGGTGCATGTGTGTGTGTGTGTGTGTGTGTGTGTGTGTGTGTGTCAGTCTGGAAGCTCTGCTGAAACCTGGCCACCAGGGGACAATCTACTGGTATTTGAAGTACTGATAGCATAGTGTCTAGCACCATAGCACGTACAAGCCACCACAGTATGGCAAACAGATTAGATGAGTGGAAGGACACTCATAGAAAGGGCACCCAACTTGTTTAAGAAGAATTATGAGCTTTGTTGGCTATATTTCTCTAACTCATTCTCTCAGGAGCCTTTGATGCTTTATATCATATAAGAACACTTCTACTAATGGTTACATCCATTTGTTCATTCAAGCATATTTGTTGAGCACTGATGTAGTGGATTATGTGTTGGGTTGCTAACTGTAAGGTCAGTAGTTCAAACCAACCAACCACTCCTGAAGGAGAAAAATAAGGCTTTCTGTTCCCATAAAGATTGGCAGCCTGGAAAACTCAAAGGTGCAGTTTTATCCTATCCTATAGGGTTTCTATGATTTGGAATCGACTTGGTGGCAATGAGTTTGGTCTTTTGGTTTGGGGATATATCAGTAGACAAAAGAGACAAAATTCTGCCTCTATGGAGATTACATATTTGTGGAGGAAAATAGACGATTTTTTATAACAAATATATACATTCATATAAAAATAAAACTATATAATGTAGAGTACTTTGGATAGTGATAAATGTTTTGGAAAAATACAAGTAAGTGGGATATGGATCTGAAGGGTGTTGTGTGGGGGGAAAGGCCAGCCCCCCACAACTAATCGCGGGTTCGATAGGCGCAATTGTACAGTTAAAAAATATATAGATTATAATAAAGTCATAGAGAATAAAGAGAGATTGAAATAATGGAGTCAGACACACTTCATAGTCATATGCTCACCTTAGCCCTGCTTGGTGGTCCACGGGAAGAGAGCCGGAGAGAGAAACGTTTATTGCTAACCAAGGCTTATATCTACTTAGGGGTCGTGATTACAGGTAACCACGTCACAGGAAGGGGCTATACAATAGCATAAGTGTAACAGGAAGGGAATGAGCTAAGAAGGGGAGGGATTAGAGGTATACATGTGACAAGAAGGGCGGACCCTAGATTCATGATGCCAGCCTAACCTTGGTCACCCTTGAGTGGGCTTGACCTCCCTGGGCTCTCCTTCAGGGAAACAATCTACTACTAACCTTATCAGAAGGGAGTAGGCCCTACTTATTGTGGGATTAAACAGTGGTGACTTCTTGCTCTAGATGGCTGATAACCTTTAGGGAGAACAGCCCCTGACCTACTTCTGTTGACCTCCAAGTGTATAGTCATTTGCCATGTGTAGCAAGCAGCTAAGTTTGGGATATATTGGGGGGAGACAACTTGGGAGAAATCCTTCTGTTTCCCACAGTGTTGCAATTTTAAATAGAGGGCATAAAATGGTGTTATTGAGAAGATGTCAGGTAAATAAAGACCTAAAGGAGATAAAGGAGCGACCTGCGAAGTATGTGGGGTCAGATCATCATGGCAAGTTTGCAGCAAAGACGTCAGTGCAGCTTGAAGTAAATGAACAAAAGCAGGGAATGAAGGGGAAAGGTCGGGGTGTATGTGGTGTATGTATGCATGGGCAGGGTGATGCACTTGGTTGGGATGTGGGGTATGTAAATGATGTGCTTGGGATGACGTATGGGGGTGTGTATGCAATATGTTTGAGATGGGGTGGAGTGCTGTGTGTGTCACATTGCTTCAAAGCCATTATATGAACTTGGGTTTTTACTGTGATATCCTTGCAGTCCCCAGCTTATGAATGAAACCATTTCCTCACTGTGTTTTTAAGATTTTTTAAGGAATTTGGAATGGGTGCATACAGCTCTTACTGTGGTGCAAGATTGAACGCAATGACTTAAAAGCTGCACATGATTGTGGTGAGGAATTTGTTGCAGCGTAGTGGCTGAGTAGGGATTGGCTAATTCATTTCAAAAGTGAGGGCAAACTTATTCAGCACTAAAGGGCTGACAGGACTTGTTCATAATTTGGACATTAGTAACGCAGAGGCTGCTTGTGCTACTGCTGTGGATTATGTCTGTTTTCTGTCAAACCTACCCACTCCTCTACACCGTTCTATTGTTGGGGCAGGAAAGCTGCAACTACACTCACCAGGTTTCTTCGGTGGCCAATTTCCTGCGGGACTCTGCCAGTGGGAGGGACTGGGAGGAAGTTGAAAAAAGGGGAAGCAAGAGGTCTTCCAGATGCCTGGCAGTCTTCCCCACATGGCAGCTGTGGTGGCAGGAGCAGCTGGGAATGCTGGCTCAGGGAGCTCCGGTCCAGCAGGGGCCACTCCAGTGGCTCTGATTGCAGGCCCTGAGCACTCTAGCTTGGGCTTCATAGTGGCTTCCTACCTACCTCATTTGGAGGTCTGGTGATGCAGGAGTTAAACAATGGCTGCTAACCAAAAAGTTAGTTATTCCCACCCATGATATTTAAGTCTGCTTCCATAAAGATTTACAGCCTTGGCAACTCTATGAGGCAGTTCTCTGTCCAATCGGGTCGTTAGGAATCTGAATCGACTCAGCAGCAGTGGGTGGAAATCTCTAGAGTGGTTCTGTCTTCTTCGTTGGATGGCAACTGATAGACACGGGCAGGCTTTACAGGTTTTGAGCAGAAGGAGAGTCATGATCTGAATTGTGTTTTAATAGGCTACTCTGGACGTGATGTTGAGAGGAGATTTATGGGACAAGGGTAGAAACGGAGATCGGGACAAGGGGAGGAGCAGGGAGGTCTGTTATGAAAACAACCCCAGTGACAGGGAATGACAGTTTAGACCAATGTAGTATTGGTTAAAGTGATGCGGAGTAGAGAACTATGGCTATAGTTTGAAGGTAGAGCCAGAGTCTGTTCACTGTCCTTGGTGTCCAGAAACATTGCTGACCATCCACTGTGATAGCTAGGTTCTTTGGGCCAACCAGACACCTGAAAGAAGATATGGGTGGAGTTTAACCTTTCACTCAGGTTGTGCCCTTGGAGGGGTGGCCTGCATATCCAGTGACTCTGTGGAGTCCAGTCTCT